TTCAGGGCAAGAATGGAAAGACAATATAAGATTGGTGCGTATCGCGTTAATTCCATCAATTGAATGAGATGGTGTTTATGGATGATGGTTTCTGATGTGAAACCGTGAAATTCACTTTCATTAGTCAACCCGCAGGCTACACAACAAGAAATTGAGGCAGCTTTGGATAATGATGAAGGCGGCCAAGTTTTTGCTCAATCGGTAAGTTCTACGTTCCGATTGATGTACATTGGGCGATGACTTTTTTTTTGTTCTTGCTATTCATCCAATTCATCTAATTTTTCAGTTGATGACCTCAACACGTTATGGTGCGGCAAGGGATGCGTTGCAAGAAGTGCAGGAGCGTCATGATGATATCAAGAAGATAGAAAGAACGATTGAAGTAAATTTTTGATTTTAATTTTGTGAGCATTCTTATTTAGTTTAGCTGTCATGTATATATATGTGTATGTGTATATTCTTTTTTTTTTTTTTTCAATAGGAACTTGCAAATCTTTTCCAAGAGATGCAGCTGTTGGTGGAAGCACAGGATGCGCCAATTGCTTCCATCGAAGAGCATACAGAGCAGGTCACTCATGATGTGGAACAAGCTGCTGTACATGTGGAAAAAGCATTGGAGAGTGCGAGAGGAGCCAGAAGAGTAAGATTCGGATTTCTACTTTCACAAGAAGATTTTGCTGTTCATTTATTAAATGAATTATTTTTATTTTTATTTTTAGAAAAAGTGGTACTGTTTTATGATACTTATTATTATTTTGATTGTTGCTGGTGTGGGACTATATATATACTTGAAGCCCAAGTCGTCGGACACTTCTCCGCCACCAACGCAAACTACCACGGCACCTGGACCTGTAACGACAAAAGCATAAGGCCTCACGAACAAAAAAAATAGAATGTATTTTCTTTTTTCGGAAAAAAAAAAAAAAGTGATGTGGGACATAATTCTTTTATATCATACGAAGAATGTGTTATCACATGGACAATATCGCCTTTAAAAGTTGTTTGTAAATAAAAGGTGTCGCGGTGGCAACTAAGTCAGTGATGGACGTATACGTATAGGAGAACAAATCAATCATTTACACATACCGTTTTTCGTGATAGTTTGTAGTATTTTAAAAATCCCTTGATGTTAATTCTTCCTAACTTTTACAATAATAGACTTCTTTTAATAATCCAAAAGAAAAAATTTTTTTCCATAAAAAAAAAAAAAAACCATGATACGCAGTTTTTTTTTTATTAACTCTTTCTTGATCTTGTAACATTTTTTGAGAAAAAATTTTGTCAATCGTGTCAGAACATTGTAAAAATTTTGCCGTATTATGTTGTGTTGTATTAGAGATTTATTTCCTCGATCATCGGTCTCTAGATCTCATCCATTCATTTTTCTTTCTTATTTAATATCAAGCTTAGATAACTTTATAATAATAATTAATACATTTGGTCTACTACAAGAATAAATATGGTTCAAATCATAATGTTTTTTTTAGTTGAGCAATTTCGTCATCTTTCTTATCGAGGGTATTCAACAGGTGTTTAATTCGAAACTTTAGCTTTGCATTTTCAATTTGTAAAGTTGCGATTTGATTTTTGTCTTGAGTTGAATTTACGAGTTCTTCCGACGAAAAAGGCGTCTCTTGTTGTTGAACTGTTTTTTTTTTTTTTACAAGATCATTATAATGTATGCATTTAAAGTCATGTAGATGCTTTCAAAAATTACCAGAGAGGATTTCTCGTAGTTCATTCAATTGCGTTTGTAAGCCTTTTACCGTGATTTCGATCGGAGTGTGGGTGGTGGTATCGTGCTCGGGCATTATCGAAACAGTTTTCAAAAAGACGTGACTTCACGATTTAGCGATTTATACGCGATGATTGGCTGAACAAATGTGCGACACATAAATTTTCGCGTTCCTCGCGTTAATCCTTCAATCATGGAAAGAAACTTTGATAGAGAGCTTCGAGAAATTCCAAAGATTCAAGCAGACGAGAAGGAAGACATACTTCTTGTTCAGAATAGGATCCAGGAGGCTGCGTTAGAAAAGATACAAAAGCATCTTGGAGATGACACGGATCCTCAATTTCGCGAGGTCGTCACAAACCTTGTTGAAAAGGCAAGTTACAGAGGATGACCTTTTCTTTTGGTCGATAAGGATGCGCTCATTAACTTGTCTTCAAAAAAAGTGGGTCAACGACACTTTCGAATTGGCAGCCCCAAATTTACAAGTAAACGGTATCGACTATAATATCGCTCTCAAGGAAAAGAATGGTAGAGTTTCTTTACTTGTTTCTTTTGGAATTTTCCGTCAAGGTCTAATGTTTCAAATGTTTCAACAAACAAATATACAAGACATGGAACCATTTAACGAAGAATTGTGCCTTAGAGTACACGATGTTCGTGCACAAATTGAGGAGGCGACAGTAAAATTAACACAACGACGTAAAACTTTGCCCGACAAGGTGAAAGATGTCATCCGAGAGTTAATGACGAAACAGGCAATTTCGATTGATAATGTGAACTTTGTGGACAAGAAAAGAGTTGATGAGATGGAGGTCGAGGAATCATCAGATGGTAAATTCTGTTAACGTTTTTTCTCATACGTATTTTTTTTCCTCCTTTGTACACTGATCACTTCCGATCATCAGACACGCGGGTCATCGAACAGACGAGTCAAACATTCGATCAAAGTCTTTCGATTTTAGAAGATCTGAAAAAGGTAAAGGATTTTCGATTGCGCACAGTCAACAAACGTGAATATTTTTTGCGTCTCATAAGACGGTTGGTAATTCTTCCTTGCATATAAAAATTCAGTCGGTTTCTGGTAACCTGTCGAGGTTGGAACGCGCTCAGACTGTCATCATGGACATTAACCAATACAATTCTTAAAACGAATAAAAAAATTAATAACACCAACGTGCATGAGATGCATTTAATGTACCAATGTTTATTCAATTAAATTGCGACACTTTGACGTTAGCGGATTCTCCAAGGTAAACCTGATTTCTATCAAAAGATTTCGACTATTCTTGACACTCACGCCAAACATTATGCTGTATAAACCAAAGTCATATGATAATATAATACAGTATAATATAATGTTCTATCATCAATGTGGGGCTTGCAGTAATTGCTGAAGACTTCCATCCGATTTTTTGGCCAAGAGATCATCACACCCTATTGAAAATTATTATTATCAGAGTTGATAGATAAAAACCTCGTCGGAAGAAAAAAAAAAAATTTTTTTTTTTTTACCTCCGATGTGAACGTTCCTGATGAAAATGTTTGGTACGGTCTTTTGGTTAGTCCTTTGGAAGAGATACTTTTGAATCTCAGCCCCATCATCTATGATGACAAAAATAGAAAAATGATTAGCCAGATGATAAAGTATTTCAGAGGTTGGATGTGTGAGGATTACCTCTTTCGTTCAACTCTATGGCTTGGAATTTCTGACCGAGTTCTTCCAAAGTTTTCTTTGCCCTCTTACAATAGGGACAGTAACTTTTACTGAAAATCATAATGAAGTTCTCCGAAATGAGTTTTTGCGCAAAGCGTTGTGCCGCCATCTGGTTGAATCGTTCGTTTTTGTTTGTTCGTTCGTTAATATGCGAATAAAATTTATATGAATGGATGGTCACAGAGGGTTCGATCAGATGATCATTCTAACAAGTTTCCGAAGAGATGCACTCATTTTTCCTGTGGAATGGAATGGAATTGGGTAAATACCTCAGCTGGTTCTTGAACTTCCATTGTCGGTGAATTGAGGTAAAAGAAGGATGAAATCTGTGAGTTGATAGAACTGTTTATTTATTCATTCGAGTAACCGTTAATTCTGCTTACAAATCATAATGGTTATGAAATACTGACACTTATCAGTATTAGTATGATTAGATAAACTAATAATTTCACTTTTTTCATTTGTATCGAACCCAAATATGAATCGTGAAATATCAATCTATTACAGTATATAAGGCTGTATGGATAACAACCATTTTTATGCGCCAACCCATCAACGGTAACGTCGATCTTGGAATGCGGTGATCCGTTTCAATGTGACCATATGAGACGCTTGTCCCATTTTATTGTAATAAGTGGTGAGAAGGAATGTAAATGTGCATGACATGATAAATTATTTGTATGATCATCATCATACAAGGGTGATGGATGCCGGTGGAGGACATATTACATCACGAAATTTGAAAAAATGCATTTTTTTTTTCAATCTTGAACTAATGAGAAATCCTATTCACGGAAAAAAAAAAATCGAATCCAAAAAGCTTTATCATCAAATTACTATAGGAGTCTGAAAAAAGTAATGTGACGGACAATAAATGATTGTTCGAAAAAACGGATATCAATTAGTATTAATAATTTATATAAAAGGAGAAATAGTATTATTAAGGAATTTGATGTCATCGCATATCAATTATGCAAATCGCGAGTGTCCTTCTTGCTTATTGTAATTCTGTCGCTTTCAGAAAGAGATGCTTTGCCACAACTCATGGTGGATTTTTTTTTTTTTTTTTTCAGAATTAAAATCTCCGAAATCGTGTTACTTCATACTCACATTTACGCCAATATCGATATCGATATGTGCCACTCAATGAACTATTATTATAGGCCAATCAAATTCACCCTCATATAACTTCAACTCCTATCAAACAACTTTTGGAACTTCATCCGTTCAACTCTTCAAGCCCAATTTTTGCAAACAAATTTTTTTTTCTCCAAGAAAACTTTTCCGCTAGCAAAACTTCTACCAACGACCTAGAATTCTCTGTCTTCTGTTTCCTTAACTTCTCTTCGTTTAAGTTATTTACCATAGCTTTATATGTCCTCGATCCAAAACCTTAACGTTTTTGGTATGCTTTTTTTTCACCTTACACCTTTTTTTCCTTTGTGCACTTTCAGCTCACATTCAATGGTAAGTTCTAAATCGTTTTCAATTCTTTCGAACAGACCCTTTCGGTGAAGAAGAAGCAGGACAACCCCAAGGGTATATTCGTATCCTTTCGTGCACTTTTTCTGATGTTTGTCCGTTATTTTATCTCTTCTATTTAAAACTCATCCCCTTCGGATGAGGCTTGCGACCGAGGTTAAATTTTAACGTTCGCACACTAAATATGAAAGCTTTGTTGACTACTTTGTCCTTGACCCAAGGCTTTGCACGAATCTTTTCTTTTCCGCAGATATTCGTATCCAACAAAGGAACGGTAGAAAGACCTTGACCACCGTTCAGGGTCTTCCAAGTGATTATGATCAAAAGAAATTGTTGAAGGCCTTTAAAAAGGTTGGTTGAATTTTTTAATGATTTCCTTGCATTTCTTGGCAAAAATTGTGGCAGGAATGAATAGGCGCTTCAACACAACTTTAGGAATTCGCTTGTAATGGTACACTCGTACAAGATGAGGAACTCGGACAAGTAATCCAACTTCAAGGAGATCAACGTCTCAAGGTCCAAAATTTCCTCTCGGAGGAAGGGATCGATAAAAAGATCATTAAGATCCACGGTTTCTAGTCGTCGAGACAACCGGAAACCGTAATCGCTCCGCGAAAGCAATGTTCTTTCGTTGAAGTTACGAAATAAAAATTCTCAAGATTTTTATTATATTCTCATTTTTAACATCATCTTAGCGGTAAACTAAAAAGCTATTTGTAGAAATATCGTTTGTATTTCACAAAAATAAAATGTAATGAAAATCTCGAGTGATATGTTATTTATTCATATGTATATGTATGAACGGTGTGTGAACAATACAATAATAGTAATTATTTTATCTTACCTGATTATCGATGTTTGAGTTATCATTATTACACTATTGTTGATGATTCAATATTCTTTAGAAAGTCCCATTTTCGTATCTTTGAGCAAGATATGTCAATAATTAAGTATCGTGAAGCACAAGAGATCAAAAAAAAACCTATAAAAGATTCATTATGCAAGGATTAGCTCAGAGAAACAGAAAGATGACCTTGACAGGCAATGCAAGTGCCCCGGGCAGAAATAACCTGACCACGAACTCATCAGAAACATTGATCAGGTTTCAACCGGAAACACAAGTACTTCACATCCATTATGGAACAATCGTATCGAGGAGATATCGAGAAGGTTGTGATTACCAGGAAGGATCGGCTCTGCAGATTTTGCGTACGAGGGTGGGTCAAGTTTTAACCTGACCTTGGGACTTGAACCTAATAAAGACTAGCTTTATTTATTCATATTGGATTCAATTTCAAGGACAAACAGCAAATGTGTAGTATACTATACTATATACAGTATGTACTGTATATGGATAGTTGGTTTTTTGGTAATAATACATGTAATCATGTAATCTAAATTTCTAATACCACAAAGCTTGGCAATTTCATTTGTTTTTCAAATAAATTTCTGTTAATGTCCCCTTTACGAATTAATTCCCAAAATCATTAATACTTAAAATAATTAATTAATCAAAAATTAATTTGTAAAATCAAAATCAAATCTTTTTCAATCAGACTGGTGTTGTTTATTTGGTAAATACCAGAATCCAAATTTCCAATCTACCATTTTATTCCATTTTGTTATAATCACTTAATCAGTTTATTTAAAAAAGCTTTCAACCAAATTTGTAAAGTTATATTGAATAAATAATTGATGAGATAAAATAAAAATTTAAATATTTATATTAATTATATTATTATTTATTATTATTTTTTTTTTTTAATTAATTGATTTGTACACTAATGCATTTGTTAATCAACAAATAATGATACAATAGAATTATTATTATCAATATTTTTATAATAAGAATTTTTTCAGGATATAGAATAATTATATAGATTTTAAGGTTATACTGATCAACATTGTTGGTTAATTTTATATTTAAAAACTTAAATTTATTATAATTATATCTTATGTTAATAGACTTGCTCATGTCATTGAATATTTTAATACTATTATTAATTGTATTTATAACTTTTCAAGAGAAAATTAAGTTTCTTAATTATATTATTATTAGATATAAATATTTAAAATATTAAAAAAAATTGATTAAGTTATAAAACTAATTGTTTTAATTATAGTTTCAATATTAAAAACAAAGAAATTAATTATAACATCTTTAGATTTATAATTAAAAATTTCTTGATTATTATTAATTTTGTATTACTTTACTCCTTGAAGTACATACTGATTAAATAATAACAAAAATTTATTAAAAAAATACTTTACACTTAAAAATTTTAATATTTCATAAACATATTAATAAGTATTAGTTAATATTATTTTAATATCAATATTCTATTTCTGGTTATTATTTTTTTTCTTGGCAAGCTAATATTATTTATTATCTTTTTGTTTAAAATTCTAATTCTTTTTAAATAAAAAGCTATTTATATAAAGATTTTGATTTTAATTTTAACAATACTAAACATTTTATTTATTTTTCAAATTTACTTATAGTTTATAAATCTTTAAAATTATTTTTTTTAATAAATTGATTTGTTTATATCTATTGTTTATATATTTTTTTATTATTCTATTACTTTGTAAATTGATAATAAAATAATAATAAGATATTGTTAATAAATTTTTGTTGTTATATAATTTGAATCTATTTTTCAAATAGATAATTTTTTAAAAATAATCAAGTATTATATGCCTTATATTTATTTACAATTGTTATGACTAACTGTTTCTATTGTTATGTTTATAAGAAAAATAATATTTTATAATTATATACAGTATGATGCAAAAGTCTTTGGACTAATATTTTTTATTATAATTTAATAAATATTTATTTAATTTAAATAAACTTTAATAAAATAATTTTGTGATTCTAATAATAATAATAATAAAGTTTTGTTATTAACTAATTAATAATTTTATTATAAAATATTGATTTTAAAATTTTTTAAAAGGATCCTATACTTTATTGACTTTTTTTATATATAAATTTCAAATTATTTTATTATTAAAATTTTTAAAAATTTTGTGACTATAAAAAATTTATTAAATATTTCTTATATTATATAAATTAATATTATGGAATTAATAGATTT